TGTCTACAGGATCGGCGTTGTTCTAACCATCTGTACATAGATTTGTAATTATCGGTAAATAAACTAGTGAATACGACATTCGGATCCTTCTTTCAACCCTAGAATGTATAACTCGACGCCATGACGATTCCGTTCGCGGATGCGATCGGATTGAGCGATCTGACTAACTTCAACTATTTAGAGGAACCATTAATGGTCCCCTCACTGGTGAGCCGGACGTGATCGACAACGTGGGAGCTCAACACCGAACCTTCCCAAGCCCAGACGCCATTTACGGAAATACAGGTAGGCCTCTTTTTCTCTTCCACGCCGGTCAAGCAGCCGAACAAAGATGGCAGAGCCCGAACCCACGGCAGAAGTGAACAGAGTGGCTCTCAAACTACCTCCATTTTGGGACAAGACCCCAGAGTTGTGGTTCGCCAATATAGAGGCCCAGTTCGCCATATCGGGCATCACAAAGGACAGTACCAAGTACTACTCTGTCGTGTCTGCTCTCAACTCCGATGTCTTGAACTACGTAAGCGACATCGTCCTCAACCCACCGGCCGAAAACCGTTATAATACGCTTAAGGCCAGACTGCTCGCCGATTTCTCAGACTCGGAACAAAGGCGAATCAAAGCGCTACTCTCGGATATCGCGTTGGGAGACGAAAAGCCATCACATTTATTAAGAAAAATGAGGCAGTTAGCCAACAATAAATTAGGGGAAGACTTTCTAAAAACCTTATGGCTACAACGACTGCCGCAACAGACCCAAGCGATCCTGGCAGCCTCCGACGACGGGTTAGAAAACTTGGCCATCATGGCCGACAAAATAGGCGAGGTAACGCATGCGAACGTCGACGAAGTCCAAAAAGGCCCCGATAATACACAAGTCCAGTTAAGCGAGCTCCAGGCACAAATAGAATCCCTTAGTCAGAGAATTGAACGATTAGCTCGGCCCCGAGACAAGTCCAGGCAAGGCAGTGGACATTGGCGGCGGCGCTCAAAGACGCCCAAGGGAGAGGCTAGCCACCTTTGCTGGTATCACCAAAAATACGGGAGCGAGGCAAAACGCTGCCGCTCTCCATGCTCTTTCCGCCAGTCGGGAAACCCATAAGGAAATCGCACGAAACGGCCCGGTGCGATTTCCGACCCAATAACAAGAGCCGTTTATTCATTTTCGACCCCGTTTCCAACCGTGACTACTTGGTGGATAGCGGAAGCGATGTGTGCGTTTTACCCTTCGTGGGAAACGGCACGCGGGACAACTCCCACGCCGTGAAGCTCTATGCGGCAAATGGTACACCGATACGAACGTACGGTACCAAGCTAGTTACGCTCGGGCTCAACCTCCGCCGCCGTTTCCAGTGGCCGTTCGTTCTAGCGGACGTCAGTAAGCCAATCATAGGCGCCGATTTTCTGCGGAAATACGGATTGTTAATCGACCTAAAGGGCGCACGTCTCCGAGACTCAATTACCAACTTAGTCACCACGGGTAAAAAGATCGAAACGGAAGTTATGCAAGTAACGCTGATAGCCAGCTCGTCGACATATCGGAGTATCCTGGAGAAGTACCCCGACATTTTCCATCCTTACCCCGCAGGGACGGCCAGGGCACCCAAACACCACACCGTGCACCGCATTATAACAAAGGGACAGCCGGTATTCGCAAAACCACGCCGACTGCACCCAGCCAAACTCGCAGCGGCTCGGAAGGAGTTCCAATACATGATGGAGCAGGGAATTTGCAGGCCCAGCACCTCCAACTGGGCTAGCCCCTTGCACATGGTGCCCAAGTCGAATGGAGAATTCAGACCAACGGGCGATTATCGAGCATTGAATCGACTTACGATTCCCGACTGCTACCCGTTACCACATTTACAAGATTTCTCCTTTTCCCTATTCGGCAAAATTATATTCTCTAAAGTCGACTTAGTCCGCGCGTACAATCATGTACCTGTGCATCTTGACGACATCCCAAAGACCGCGATCACAACCCCTTTTGGTCTTTTTGAATTCATGTTCATGCCTTTTGGTTTGTCCAATGCCGGACAGACTTTCCAACGATTCATAAATGAGGTACTCCAAGGGCTCGATTTTACCTTCGCATACCTCGACGACATTTTAATCGCTAGCGAATCAAGGGAGCAGCATGAGATTCACCTAGAGGCGGTTTTCCACCGCCTGTCCGAGTACGGCGTCAAGGTAAATCTAAGCAAATGTATACTAGGAGCACCAGAACTACCGTTTTTGGGATATTTAGTCAGCAAGGAGGGCATTAAGCCACTACCCGAACGCGTAAACCCTATACTGGCGTGTAAAATTCCAACAACGATCCGTGAGCTCAGACGTTTCCTGGGACTACTTAACTATTACCGTAGAAATGTCCCAAACGCAGCTCATGCGCAAGCCCCACTGAATGAGTTACTAAAAGGACCAAACCTTAAATCCAACAGAAAAATTCAGTGGACCGAGGAGACAACCAACGCTTTCCACCACTGTAAGAAGGAATTAGCCAACACGACGCTATTAACACATCCAAATCCAAATGCGCAATTGGCACCTTTTACCGACGCAAGCGACATAGCTATCGGCGGCTCACTAAATCAAGTCGACCCCTCAAATGGCACACCGAAGATGCAGCCACTAGGCTTTTTCTCTGCCAAATTAACGGAGCCGCAACGAAAATGGTCGGTTTTCGATAGAGAGCTTTATGCCATATACGCATCAATAAGGCATTTCAAGCACATGCTCGAAGGCAGGGAGTTTACGGTCTTCACAGACCATCGCCCACTGACGTACGCTTTTAGTCAGAAGCCTGAGAAGTGCATCCCTAGGCAATTAAGGCACCTAGACCTTATAGGGCAATTCAGCACGGACATCCGCTACATCAAAGGCAGCGACAATACACCCGCGGACGTATTGTCGCGGATCGAAACTATTGAAGTGCCAAACGCAGTAGACTACACGAGCATCATGCAAGCTCAGAGCAGCGACCCCAAATTAAAGCAACTACTTTCTTCAAATACTGCCTTACAACTGAAGAAAATGCCTTTAACGGATGCAGGCCCCGATCTATTCTGTGACATATCCACGAACAAAATTTGCCCATATATCCCGATTAAATTTCGCAGGCAAGTCTTCGACGCCACACACAATCTGGCTCATCCCGGTATAAGAGCTACCACCAAATTAATAACTAGTTGTTTTGTTTGGCCTTCAATCAGAAAGGACTCTCGTATGTGGGCCAAAACCTGCATACCATGCCAACGAGCAAAAATTCATAGGCACACGTGGAGCCCTGTTCAAAATCTTCAGGTCCCTGACGCCCGTTTCGAACACGTGCACATGGATATTGTAGGTCCCCTTCCGCCTTCGCAAGGTAACATATATTGCCTCACACTTATTGACAGGTTCACCCGTTGGTTGGAAGCCTTCTCGATTGCCGACTGTACGGCAGAGACTGTAGCAAAGGTTTTTTACGGTCAATGGGTCGCGCGTTACGGTGTACCTAAGACGGTCACTACTGATCAGGGTAGACAATTCGAATCGCACCTGTTCCGAGTTTTGACCAAATTATTGGGCAACAAGCACATACACACGACAGCCTTTTACCCAGCAGCCAACGGCCTGGTGGAGAATAGCCACCGCAGACTTAAATCGGCTCTCAAGGCTTGCTTGACCGACCGCTGGACAGAGGTCTTACCGTCAGTGCTGCTAGGGATGCGAACCGCCTTTAAAGAAGACATCAAGGCAACAACCGCCGAACTCGTCTATGGGACAACCTTACGATTACCCGGCGAGTTCCTCGCCCCTACACCGACAGACTCAAACGCAGCAGTTTTCGTCCAGCAGCTCAAAGAGCAAATGCATCAGCTGACACCAATTCCAACGAGATGTCACGGGACAAAGAAAATATTCGTCCCCCAGGACCTACGGAGCTGCACCCACGTCTTCGTGCGGCACGACGCTGTACGGCCACCTCTGCAGCCACCGTACGACGGACCATTTCCCGTACTGCAGCGTGCAGACAAATTTTTCAAAGTCCGCATATGGCAAAAAGAGACAGTTATCTCCATAGACAGACTTAAACCAGCTTATTGTCTGGCGGAACACTTTTCACCAAGCGAACAACCACCAACAGACGACAAACAAGAGACAGACACGAGACAAGTTCCCCGTTCAACAGAAATAAAAGATCCGAAACCATCGAGCACCACGCACTCGAAACAAGCAGAAGAAACCAAAACCACGACGCGCTCCGGAAGACGCGTCCGTTTCCCGGCACATTTTCTCTAGCCTCACGATCGTTTACACTAGGAAGGGGGTACTGCGGCGGTCGGCAACACTGCGCCGACCACCGTCCCCAACCCGTGTGACGTCAGAGGTCGAGGTTCACTCTTTTTGGGTCGACGTGCTCAGGTTCGGACGCTCATCCCCACTCTCCGACCTTTGTCTACAGGATCGGCGTTGTTCTAACCATCTGTACATAGATTTGTAATTATCGGTAAATAAACTAGTGAATACGACATTCGGATCCTTCTTTCAACCCTAGAATGTATAACTCGACACCACGACGATTCCATCGCGGATGCGATCGGATTGAGCAATCTGACTAACTTCAACTATTTAGAGGAATGGTCCCCTCAAATATTTAACCTTGTCATTTTTGAAAGTTTAAGTAATACTTAATAAAAAGTCTAAACATATAACATTAAATATTCAGTTTTCATTTTATATAATATATTTAATATATATAAACATATCTAAGTTAAATCAATCTAAATTCATAAATAAAAGGAAACATTTTATAATCAAAAGTTATTTTAGTCTTTTTCACTATTTCCTAAAGAAAATGTAGAGATTTTAATAATAATTATCATTGTGAATTATTATGATCATGATTATTAAAAAATTAGTAGGTTTATTTACAATATTTTAAAATAACCTGTTCCATTTTCTTCCCAAAAGTTAAAAATTATCAAATAACCTTTATATACATTTTAAAATTATTTTAGGGAAGACCAGGAAAAGCTGCTGATCGAGGATTACCAGGAGAACCAGGTCCTAAAGGTGAACGAGGTTTTCGTGGAGAGAAAGGCGAGAAGGGTGAGAAAGGAGATATTGGATTACCTGGAATGCAGGTAAATTTATATATTAAAAGAGATTTATAAGTTACATATTTGAAAAATAATTTTATCATAAGAAAAAGTATGATTTAATATCTTAATTTAACTTATGAATTTATTTATTTATAATTATTTATGTAGACTAATGAAATAAATCAATTTATTATTTTTTAAATGTAAATTTAATATGGATTAATATTAATAATAATTTATATTAATTACATATTATATTTAATTTATTCATATATNTTAAAAGACGTGGCTAAATGAAACAAAAAATCTTTTCTGTTTAAAAATTTTTTATTTTATTACATTTCATTAATACTTAATTGTCTATCATTATTGTAGATTTCACCAGAAATTTATCTTTCTTGTTGTTTTACAATGAATAAAATGAATTCAATTCTTATAAATAAATACAATAAATATGATTATATGTAAAATTCTGAACTTAATCATGTTTAAATCTTTTCATTGGTTTTAAATGGAAATTTATATACAATAGGTTCTTTTCTCCTATGTTTTGTGCTAGTGCATTTTTCCTATAGACAGACTTATCAAACTGGACATCAGCTTCATAATAAATACATAGAAGAAAATTGTGTCTCAAGGTCATTCTGTCCTGTGGCTGTCCAGTTTGATAAGTCCATCTATAGGAAAAGAGTGCTAGCACAAAACATAGGAAATAAGTCTATGGACAAAAAGCAATCTGAATAATACAATAGATTCTATTGGATTGTGGCTTACTAGTTTAATGACAAGCAGTTTCCTGATGACAAGAATTTCCTGATTTAGTGTTCTAGGTGCCTTGGCCCAGTAGGTTTTTACATTCCTCTGTCCCAGGTTCCACCTACATTGAAATTTACAAGACAAATTATTAAAATTAAACAGCACAAAAGTTATGAACAAAGCAAAATGCCACTTAAGCATTCACCAAATTTTGAACCAAAGGAGATGGTCAACATTAATTACAGTTGACACCCCTATAACACTGTTGATAATTCCGTTTTATATGAATTCCATGTTGTACAACTCACTTAGATTTTACAAATACGTGTGCCGGGCTGTGAATGGCTCTTGTATTTGTAAAATCTAAGTGAGTTGTACAACATGGAATTCATATAAAACGGAATTATCAACAGTGTTATAGGGGGATCAACTGTAACTGCAAAATGTAAGTGCAAAAAAAAAATAATGGATGATCCAAATTTTCAAAGTTACATTACAATCGATGTGTATATCATTCTACATAATAGTTAGCAAACTTACAACAATATTACATATCTGTAAGTGGATGTCTCAAGTTTATAAAAAGAAATTATGTAACTACATGGGAGTTACAATAAAGGTCTAGAACAGCCATGTGCAGCCTATGAACAATAGTTTGTATTGAATATATCCCCAATATATATTTGGAATATATCCCCAGGCTGAAATCTGTTGCCAGTTCAATGTTATCTCCAATTTAAGCCAAAATTGAGCAAGATGGTCTTTAACTTCATGGCTATGCATACAGGCAATATGCTTTTCCAAATTTCTAAATCATTTTCAAAAGTTTTGTAAATGACATTGGCCCTTTATCATTTCTAATCCCATCAATGAATGAAAATTTATTGTCATTGCCAATTCTGAATTTTGATGATAAAGTTTTGCCAACAGTGATTCATTTTGGTAAGAATAACATGAAAAACTATGCATAATATAATGAAAAAACTTACCAAGTCTTCTTTAAAACTTATTTCTGTTTCTATACCTATCATTTGTTTATCAGGTACATTTAAGTTGTCATATAATGATCTCACTTTCTAAACAGTACCACTTAGTGGTAGTAATTGTAATTAAAATTTGCATAAAATGTTTGTACTTCAAAAAATTTCATGTTAGTTTGAGTATTTCTGTAAAGACCACAGAAATATTTAGGCTAAGGCCATACGAGACATGAATATGATGATGTCAGATTATGGCATTTCTTGTTCTTGCTGTTGTCATTCAGCAGTGTAAATTTTTCCCAATCATTTGAGTTTAGAAAGAAAATAGATTGAGTTTAGAAAGAAAATAGATTGAGTTTAGAAAGAAAATAGATTGACAATGGTGTTTACTATCTCTATTTTGATAATTTTTTAATTATTTATTTCAAATTTTGGGCTAAATTCTAACTAAATTAATTTCTCCCTAAAAAGCTGATTATTTTTCTTCTTGCCCACTTACACCAGAAGTTATATTTGAATTATATACATACTAAAAATGAGGTAAAGTGCTAATGCACAATTGTGGTATAAAGTGAGAACTTCATATGATAAAAACAAATAGTGCCAAATATCTGTGAGAGCAAGATTTTCTGTCCTGTAAATGAGATTCTATTTCTCACTTGTGCATGGTTTCACTTTGTGAGAGCAATGTTGCTACAAACTTCAAACTTCTCACTCGCCACTATTCTTGCAGCTGCAAGACCATAAGCCTTAGATTGACATGTTTCAAATAAAAATTCATTTTTCAGTGAAGTTTGAAAATTCTGCTTGGCATTTGGATTGCCTAGTATATTTTACTATATTTATTTTTTTATTATTAATTATATTATGTATTAGTAATATTTTTCATTTATTGATACAATCAACATTATTTTAAATGTGAATAAAACTTTAAAATATTGCAAATTGAAAACTAAATACAAATAAAAATTTGATGTTTTGTTAATTGTGTACAGTAGAGCATCATTTATCCGAAAGTCGGTTATCCGAAATGTCTGTTATCCAAAAGAATTCCAGTTGGCAAATTTTAATTTTTGCTAGTGCTGTGGCACTGCAATCTTTGGCTATGTCCTGGGCTACTCAAATATTTTACGTTTTTGATACTAAATTAACTTCTGAAGTATAATTTTTTATTGTTTTTATATTTTTCAATATATTTATTTTGTTTGTACAAAATAAAGAAATAATTTTTAACGATAAAATAGCCACGATTATTATTTTAAAAAGTTTATGTTAGGCTTAACATCGACGAAAATTCAACGCAAAGCGACACACAACAGAGAAAAATTTCAGGATGGGATAGATTAATATATTTTTTCGTACATAATCGGTTATCCGAAAAATAAGTTATCCGAACAACCCCAGTCCCCAATTGATTC